GAAGCAACAACAAATGTCACACATGACTTCTGTTTCTGGTCAACAGTTCCTCCAGATTCACAAAGTTTCATCCCCATCATCACCACAAAAAAGGCTGCTGACACACGGTAGTGCTCCTTACCACAGGAAAGCAGAAAAACAAACCTTGACTCAGCCTCAGCATGCATTTATACGTCTTGCTCTACCAAAGACGTAACTAAGAAACTGTGCTGACAGCATCTGGGTTTTTTCACATTCTGTATCCATCTGTTTCTCAACAAAACACAGGATTTTAAGGTAATCTGCAGAGACAATAGCCTCTGATTATGACCCAAACACTTCTCTGTCACTGACTTTGGATCTCTCAGTGAGGAAAGAATGAACTGAAGTTGTAAACTGTGGTGGTTTATTCCATAAAACATTATGATTACAATACAAATGCTCCCATTTATTGGATTGCAAATTCCTTATATTGGAAAACTTAACCAAAGTCGAAAGTACGTTTCACTACATTCAGACGGCATTCTACACAAACATTTTTCCTCTGCTTACCATCAATTACATATTTCCTCTTCTCCTCAGCATCAGTAGTCATCTCAAACAGATCTCCATAAGCACGTGCAAGTCTCCAAAGAAAGTCCACACAGTTTTCATACTGAAAGTAGAGGACAGTTACATAATTGAACTGATCAGAATGCGATTTAAACAGTTTACTTTCACAATGCTTAAAATTTATAACTTGCCTAAAGGAAGTAACCAGAACATGGCATAACTTTTTGTTAATTTCCCATCCTTCTACATACCACTTTTATTTTATGTGAGAACCAATTGACCAATTTTCCATGAACAAAAAGGAATACATCTTTCAGAAAGACTTTAGGCTATCTAAATAGGTTTTCTTTTATAAATCAGTTTAAACTTATTTTAATATAAACATTTACAAGGTAATCCAGTGAAGCACAACAAATCCCTGCACCAAGTGATGTGTATTTTCTTTATGGAGGCAATAAGCACCACACAATTATCTCACTCACAATTATTATCTCATCTATCTTCCTTGGTATTCCTATATTCATATTAAAATACAATCAGAACTACTGCTTCCCAAACCAGAATAAAATGGYACACTGAACTGAGCACTGCACAATAAACTACCTTTATATTTTATCTAGAGTTACATCCGGGCCCAGTAAAGTCAATGGAAAAATTCACATGAAGGATATGAGAAAGGTATAAGCAGACTACATGCTTATAGTTTGAGAACAGCAGGTCTGGTTACTACTTAATTTTACAGGATTTTCTCACACAGTCTATCTACTCCAAAACTAGCAAAAGTAAGTACCATTTACATAGRAAAAAGTCTGTGATCTTTCTTTGCTATATGCAAGAATACCTACATCAAAGCCTCTAAGTTACTGAATTTGAATGGGATACAAAATAGTAGAACTCCTATGCCCACACAACATGAATATAGACAACACTTTGAAAGACTGCTTTTTCACTGTATTTTAAAAATATAATTGAAATTCCATCTTTCATTTCTATGTGCATTTTAAAGCTTGTATTAAGTTTTCAAAGGCAGTGCAAAGCATAAGTTAATAGCAACRTATTAAATTTACCCATAATACCTTGCAATCTTTCTCAAGCAGGAGTCTGAAGCCCTCCTTTTTATCATCCTCTGAACCCTTGTGCAAATTGTCCACCTGCTGTAAAAAGTTAAATAAGTCTTCTTCTTCTTTTGATTTCACCATGGCATCAGATGGTTTTATACATCTCTTTTCCTCCTCCGAGTCTCCTTCAGAATCAGTATGAGCAGTAAGGTAACTAAAATCACAGAAAATAATAACAATTTTTTTCCAAAAAAAAGGTCATGGTTAAATTCAAAAGCAAAAGTTTCAGWGCACAATTTATCCCAGTTGTCCAACTTTAAAGGATTTTTTATTAATGATATCAAGCTTGTTGTTATTATTACAAAACCTTTATCTTCAAAGGGACAGCACAGTCATATTCCAAACATAACATGCAAGTAATTATACTGTCCTGCTGCCTAATACTCCATTAAAAAATGCAGATACATATTAGAAACACATGTAGCTTTGTGTTTCTAAGGCCAAACACTTGAAACTATTAATATGTTTTAAGACATGCTCTGTAACCCTGMATAGGCCTCTTCAACTCTTTATCTCAATTTCCCTATTTTTTGAAATAGAAATGAGCTAACTAACCACAATATAAGTGCTATAACAATCATTTAGACAGTATTTTGTTTAACACTTTTAAGATCAAAATATAAGCCAGTAACACCATTGTCATAAATTCCTTCTTTCTTTTGAGCATCCTGACGTTCAGAATATCTAAAATTGGAAAAGAGCTTATATTAAATCATGATGCTTGGTGCACAAATACTCAGCACAAGGCAGTCAAGGGCAAAGAAATATTTGCAAAAGCATAAATATCACGCAGAGATAAACAGGTGGTCTTACTGTCCAAGTACTCTCCAAAGTGGAAAATGCATTACAGTACTCCAATTTCATACAGGAGCAGCTGATTAGGACTGATTTAAAAAAGTTGCTTTTTGCTTATGTACTAAAAATGGACAGAGAAGCCTCATCTTCTGCATTTCCACTTTTCAAAATACTGTTCTGGGGAGAAATAATAACGTAAAGCTATCAGCTGCCAGGTTCAGAGATTTTTTAAATAGTTACTATGAGTACAAAAAGCATGAARTGTACTATACACATTAAGTAACTAAATAATGAAAGTAGGTCATGACAATCAAAATATATTAAATCTATTTCTTTTTGCAGATATATAACTAARAACGTTAGCAGTTGAAATGGAGGTTATTAATCTTGGCCTTTAAATACTCTGTTTTCAATATGTTGCTTCAGARCAAATCAGTGTATCAGAGCAGATACACCTACAGCCTGCAAATGAACAAGTACAACTGCTTATAAAGCTAAGAAGTGCTAGATGTGGCATGACAGTTTGACTGCAAAATTAACCCAGTAATACAGGAAAGAGGAATCAAAAACACATTTGGWTAAAACAACACATACATAGACCACGTGTACATGTTCAGACTGAAGAATATCACGGAGAAGAACAGAGATGGGAAACTTCACATTTCAACAGATTCATTTTACATAATCTTGATGCTGAAGTTGATGACRCATCCTATGCTGTATACTGCAGAGACTTATATTCAGTCACTGAACACTTACTTCCATTTTCTGAAGCATCTTTAAAAACACACCATATCRCTCTTCCACAGTTATTTTGAAATGGGCACAGAAATATATCATGGTTGAACTTCTGACAGCCCCAACTTTATCAATGTACAAGGGAGWTTTTGGGGAGTGGGACAGTCTTTCAGTCTAATACACAACTCTATGGTGTGAAGTGTGTTTGGAAAGTATCTTTCCTCACATGGTTAAGATGTTCCATTCCCCCTAATTAAAAGACAAATGCATTGAGGATCTGCGCAATTCTCAACGTAAAATAAGGGCACTAGATAATACAAAAGAGCAACAACTAAGCAGTAAAGGCAATTTCTTTAGTTATAGGAATTTGGACACTGCATCGAATGCTACCGAATCAGGTAGATATGAAAGTAGGGAACTGGCGTTTGGTAGTCAATGTTGATGTATTCTATACAATTGCTACATAAACATTCCCTACAATTTCTATGATCACTACTGTTCCAGAGTTACATAACAAATAAAAGTGATTATTAAAAAACACTTTTCTCCCAGCAAAAATAGAGCAGCTGGTTGACAAATAGGCTGGGTTGATAGCCAAGCCTGTCAGTCCAAAGAAGCCCAGCAGAGATTTCCAGCAGCACTATATCAAATCTCATGGCCAAACACCAAAATRAGGCCAAACATCAAATTTATATGACATCAGGTAAGTCATGTATTTATTGGGAGACTCATAGGAAAAGTGTGAAGTAGGTCCAATCTAACAGATCATGTGAATGTATAAGGAGCTCTACAAAAGAGCAGAGGGCAGGTAATTTCTAACCCTTCCCTCTCATCTTCACCATCCCAGCAAATTCCTTCTTACCTCCTCTATTCATCAGTTTTATGAATCCTCAGAAAATTTAAATGTGGAGCAGACCCTCTTAAACCTTGATTAGCATGCCATAAATTTCAATTTACTTATTGAGTGATATCTGCCTTCAACAATGCAGCTAAGAGTCTCATCCATCTATGCATTCTAAAACACTAAAAATCACTACTGATACAAACAGAAGTGAAGATTCTTCTTAACACAGTTTAAAAACTCCAGGACTTTAAGGACTGATGACACTACTCCAAAAAAGAAATTAACAGAAAACAAGGAAGTGTAATTATGGTTTATTTTACAGACATTCCACACAAAAGAAATCTGCAATTTTAYGTGGTATTTTCTTGCAAGAGGCTTTATCAGACAATAAACAGGAAAGTGAGTGTTTGCATGTGGTCAATTGGTCAAAACATTGATCAATATTAGAGAAAATGGAAGAACTTTTTAAAAATGTCTAGAGTCGGTGGCAACTTGTTTTCACCTTTACTACCAATAGATTTTAAATAAAAGAGAAAAACAGTGATAAGAATGTGAGGAGCAACGATCAACCAACAGGACTCGGTTGTTCACCATGAACCGTTCAAAGTTCAAAGAACAAATGGAAACTGGAGACACCTCACTGCGGCTAAGCAGGTCAGCAAACCCCAGCAACTCAYACTGGATTAAAACAAACCATGAGCTACATGGTATAAAACACCCCTGTGGCATAAACACACTTGGGTGGTTCAGAAACTGTGTTGTGATGTCTGTAAATTAGCAGACACTGTGCCTAACCAGGTATCATCTGTTCACAACACTTCAGCTTTTAGACAGATCAAATATCATCTGTCATCTCCCTGCCAACTTAGAAAAAAACACAAGCTGACACAAACACCCTCTCATCTGCTCTGGCTAATTCCACAGAAAGGTGATTATATGCCACAGAGAGATCTGGATTGAATTTGCACTGTAAGATCCAGCAAAGTGCATATCCATGTAATGATAAGTGGGCTTCAAGGAAAAGTTTGGCAAACTGGGTTCTTAGGCCAACTGAAAGTTGCATTTAAAATAAATGAACAGCAAAATAAATTAGAAAATGTACAGTGAAGTGATACACARAAATAGGCAAGGGAAACATTTCTTCCTGTATTGAAATTCTTTCAAGGAAAAATTAGAACATCTGTCAGAAAGGAATTTACTGTGGTGAATATTTCTGGTGCCTGATGCCAAATGCAATTTGAAGAACTTGGATGCTGGGCCACCTGAAGACTGGCGCCAAACACGACGCTGAAGTCAGGGGTTCATCGCTGCCATATCAGGAAGGAAATAGCTTGAAAATCACAAGAGGAGAATTCGGTGACATGCTCCATTCCAGGTGATCATCTAGACACAATTCATTGTGTTTGTAAATGAATGGGTGCTTGTAACATATTTTTGAATGTTGAACATTGAAGATTTCACTAGTACATTATGGCAAATGAAACAAACTAAAAAAATAAAAAAATAGAATACAAAAAAGGCCAGACTAGAAACGACAGACTCTTTTAACATTTCACGTCTCATCCATTCAGKGCACCTTCCATTCAGACTATCTGTCATTATGTAAAAATATAGCTCATTTATTAAAACACATGTGATATTTCTCGGTTTACAGAAACACATAATTTCTGTATACAATGCAGAAGGTTTTTCTTCCCAAGGCATTGAATACCAACAGTGACATTTAAAATATGACCAAAGCAGATCAAAGCAGTGAGGGCCATATCAGAGACTGTCAGCTTCCGATATTTAATGAAAAATAATAGGTAGTATTAAATGTTTTTCTGGAAGAAGTTTACAAACCCGAAACCAATGTAGTCATCCAGCACAAATCTATAAAACTCTTCAGATTAGTTTATCTGTGCATTCCCAGCATAAACCCAGTTGCCAATTAAAACCACAAGTGCTTGCTTAACACAAGCAAAATCCTATCTTCTAGATAATGAAATTACTGCTGAGGCAGTGAAACATGTTGCATGAACTTTAAATGGGAGCACAGAAAGGTGAAAAAACGTGTCATCAGTAACAAAGAGCAACTTTTTTTTTTCTCTAGTGCAACATACAAGCATCTGAATGGTCTACTATGTGTGGAATTCATCATGCATAAAAGTACAAAACAATGCACATGGTGCAGCACCTACAGCATATGAAGCAGTGATGTACAGTAAATGGAAAAAACCCAYGTGCTGATTTCCTGGCCATGCACCACAGTCATTAAAGTTACAGAAGACCTTGGAAAAAGCTATATACATTGCAACCGTACCCAYGATAGGATTAACAACCTATTTGCAAGAGGAAGAAAAAAAAACGTTATTTACTGAAATGAAGTCAAATTATCTCAAATTTAGAGAAGATACACAAAACAAGCAMATGAARTACAAGGTGTTAATAGGAAAAAAGCCCACCTCTTTCCAAAAGGGATTGAAAAATAGCATTGGGAAAGAACATAGCCAAATGACTAAACTAACTATAACCTTGGATTATCTTCCTTGCTCCTGACTGTACACAAATACTTGCCAGAGAAGGCCTCTCTTAAGGACACATTCAATGCTCTTGAATACTATAATCACTTGTACTGGATCATCGCATCAGCTTCTTCGTCACACAGAAGAATCTGAACATACAAGTTTCCTTGGCTCATTCTCAAAGAGCAACAGATCACTCCTGATCAGAAGACAGGATTTTCTCAAATGCTAGGTGTGAGGTGATACAGGTGATACCCCTGTATCGCATCTGTGGACCTGGCAATTCATAAACTGGTCCCTTTGCTTATCTGCATCTCCGAATATTTTATTCATAACATTAAGGCCTCTGCAAACCAACCAATGGATTAAATAATCTGAGAAACTAAGACAACCAAGATGTTTCYAACACCAGATGAAGCAGGAATGTCTTTGAATACTTATGTCAATACTGAATACTTAAAATAAAGAACTGGTCTATGATAGAACTGATGGGTCTTAAAATATGTTATCAAAATATAAGACTTGTGAAGCATGTGGGCTGGAATGTAACACAAAAAGAAATCCTGCTCACAGAAACTGAAACTCAATGTGGAGAAACTCTTAAAAAAAGAATTCCATTTAYATGCAGCATGCTGTCTTCAGAATATTACAGTTAATTAAAATATCTTTAAAGAGAAAAGGTGACATAAGATAGACAATTTACAGACATAATGCTGCCTACGCAGACGTGTAAGACATGCTGAGAAGTTGCTCAAAAAACTCAGCTGCTATAAACACAGTCTTACTAAATTGCATGTAAGTACCTAAMCTGATTATACCAAAAGAAAGTTGTAATTATTGAGGAGCAATGTCAAGACAAAAATATAGTGCCTCTCCTGGACTCCAGGTACACATCATCCTCCAGCGTGTTTCTCAACTCCTGAGTACWGTCCCTCATTAACTACTGGGGAACTACAAGATATGGTCAAAAGTAGGAACTTTCTACCTTACTGAGTCAGTGCCCTACACGTCCCATGATCACTTTTTGAGCCAACAGCACACATACATAAACACTGCCACAAGAACAGAGGTTCCACTCAGACATAGCTTCCATAGTGTGCAATACCTCTAGGCAGAACACGGTAATCATCTCAGAAYGCTCACTCATCTGTGAGGCCCATAAAAAACAATTACCATGAAAAGCACATGAGCATTTGAACAGTTTGAATGAACTGTCAAAGACACAAGTCTACCTTCTTACCAGCACTTTTAAAGTCTCATCATTATTCTGAACTTTGCCTCTCATTGTGTAGCTGTGTAGCAATACTGCATCAGTGTTACCAAATACACTCCTAAAAAAAAAATCAAACTCTTATTATGCTTGGCATGAAGCCAACTTGAGCCATAGCGCAGATCCAGAGATGGTCACCAAGTCTTCTCTGATCTAAAACCTGCTAATCTGAACATTTGTATTTCTTTTTCATAAGTGTAAAACCTATATAAAAGTTTTAAAGGACTCCTGTTTACAGTTTCATATAGGTARTGATGCAATTTGCATTACAAGTGTATGGTAGAATATGCAACTTATTATTAACTCACCCTCCTTCACTTTCTGCCTCCTCAGAGCTGGTAGTTTCTTTTGCACCAGAAGCTGTCTCCGCTTTTCTCCGCCTTGTTGCTCTGTGCGATGGGCTAACTCTCTGAACATCGCCCTTTCCTTGAAGCTCATTTCGAACAAGTTCTTCAAGCTTAGGAATAGCTTCTTTCAGAAATTCCACCTCTCTCTTCAGTTCGTCTACACTTAGCAGCAGGCCATTCAATTTTTCTAGTATCTGCAGTTGCCTTCCATGTAAAACCATTACTGCTCCTTGTTCATTAGGAGCCTCATTTTGCAAAACCACAGAATTAATTCTGTTACCTATATCCTGGAAAGCACSTACACGCACAGCTGCACCAGGCTTTCGGATCTTGCGATACCAAATCAGTACCAGGCTTAATCCAGCAGTCCCTGCCATTATGCCCAGTATTAGTCCTTTATTTTCCAAGGGAGCCATTTCCGCACACTCCTAGAATTGTGAGACAACAATAACAGAGTTGTAAAATGTTTTCCCCTGCTCTACCCAAAGCTCTGCTCTGAAATTACAGAAGTGTAAGGCTGGAACAACAGCAGACACAAAGTTACATTACAACTCTCTCAGACACTGCAATACCAGGCACCAAACACAAGACCAAAGTGGGTTTGAGGGCGTGAGGGGCGCCGGCACGTGGGCAGGACCGCAGCCTTCAGCCTCAACCCACCCGACAACCTGGGATCTGTYTGTTTTAATGCGAGAAACTCATATAATCGGATTTTCCGCCACTGCAGAGAGGCGGAAACCCAGCTGTCAGGCCGGAGGGGCGTCTCGCCGGTCCCCCAGCCCCCCCGCGCCCAGAGGCTGCCGGAGCCCCGCGCTCCCCTCCCGCCCGCCCCTCGGCCGCCCCAGCCCCGGCCGCCCCRGCAGCGCCAGCCCCGAGCCCGGCACCGCCCCCGGTACGTACGTACGGCCGGCCGAGCCGAGCAGAGCCGAGCCGGGAGCAGCGGCGATCCGGCCCAGGAGCCCGCAGCTCTCCCGCCGCGGCACAGGGGGCGGCAGCGGCACCGCCCCGGGGCGGCGATACCCGGATCGAGGGGCCAGGCCTCGGCAGCGCCGGCAGGGCCGCCCGGTGACGCGCGGTGCTCGGCGGAGGAGGGGTTCCCGCAGCGCCGGGAATGCCGCACCCGCCTGAGACACGGCTCCAAATGCGCCGTTCCAGAGCGAGTGTACCTGTTTGTGGGTGTGCCCGCCGGCTGGTGGCCGCTCGATTGCACCAGTTTCACCTTTTGCTGCTTCTAGGCCGCAGAGAAATTGTTTCCACTGCATTAGTGGAGACCCGAAGCTGCAAAATCGCGGAGAAACYCCGCGCAGGTGCTAGGAAGACGGACAGTCCCGGCACAAAAGCTTCATTGGAATTTTAGCCATCTRAGGGCCCAAATCTGATTTCACTGAAGTCCATTATAGATTGCCCAAAGTTATGGAGGAACTTACCACAGAATCATAGAACGGTTTGGGTTGGAAGGGGACCCTAACAATCTTCTAGTTCCAAGCCCCCTGGTGTGGGAAGGGACACCTTCCACTAGAYCAGGTTGCTCAAAGCCCCATCCAACCCAGCCATAAACACTTCTAGGGGCAGGGTATCCACAGCTTCCCTGTGCAATCTGTTCCTGTGCCTCTCCACCCCCACAGTAAAGAATTTTTTTTATAGCATCTGATCTAAACCTGCTCTCTTTCAATTTGAACCCATTCCCCCTTGTCCTGTCACTTCATCGTCTTGTAAATGGTCTTGCCCCATCTTTCCTGTAAGTTCCCTTCAGGTACTGGAAGATCACAACCAGGTCACAACAAAGCYTTCTCTTTTCCAGGCTGTACAATATCAGTTCTCTCAGCATTTCCTCATAGGAGAGGTGCTTCATCCCTCTGATCAGCTTGGTGTTCCTTGCCTAGACTCATTGCAACAGATCAATGYCYTTTTTTGGGGACTCCAGAGCTGRATGCAGCACTGCAGGTRGAGTCTCACCAGAGCAGAGGAGAGGGGCAGAACTTGAATTTAACCGAGTGTGGGAGGTGTTTCTCCTGTGCCACATCTGAGATCACTTTTATTGGTGGCTCTCACAAGACCCTCCTTTGCCCTTTATGACAGATGGATCTGGCTCCTGTTTCTGGCCTTGAACAGAAGAAGGATCRTCACAGAAAACCTGCTRTTACCATTCCTTTTCCTGAAGGCTYATGGAGGGTGACCATGCACAACATCCTGCCAGAATTTACAAGCCTAAAACTCATGTTTTTCTGTGTAAGGGCTTAAGGAAACCATCATGGAAACCTGTGCAATGAAGCTCTCTGAAATTGTCCTCAGCCATACCAATCAGAAAGGAACAATTCTTAAAAAACGTACTAATTGCCTTTAAAAGGTGAATGAAGTGCTGTTAAAAAAAATACCAAAAACAGACCTCAAGAATTTTCAGTCTTAGTGCAAAATAGMACTTGTAAATCAGTCTAATAKCTTCAAAGRAAGATTTAGTTAAAAATAACTATWGYTCTAAATTAATTCTTCATTAAGAAYCTGAGGATKAAACTAGCCTTATGWGACSAAACTACAATCTGAAAGGTAGAAATTTGTTAGAATGGAAAAATGAATATTGTTTCAATATTTTACAGRTTTCCCAGTTACAACACAACAACAATTATATTTGTAATTTGAGATTTTTAAAYCAAGGATGAAAATCTCTTCAATTTTATGGAACTTCACTAAACTGAAATTATTTTAATAAATTTCACTATAAGTAATGGTTTTAAGTTACACAGTCCCTCAATGTTTTAAAATGAGCAAGAAAACATAAATCTCCATGCTGTCAGTGTTTCAAATGTTCAGGAATGGTAATATAAATTTGTTGGATAACCTTTAAGTTTTGGGATTTTTTCTTTTTTTTTTTTTTTTTGTATAATCTGCCAAAATCTTTCAATAAGCCAATTGAAACAGGAAAGGATTTTAAAAAGAGAATTAACTGGAGGGCAAACATAACACAAAGCTGAAACAAAATACTATGGATGCAAAAAGCTAAGCAAGTGTTTTCAAACATTTTCTTAAGTGACTCTCTCAGGCTGCAAGTCTTAGACAAGGGGACCTGTTTTCAAAAATAATGGCCTGGATTACTACATCTACAGAACTATCATCTACAGCTACCTGGATATGTAGCAACTATGAGAATCAGGTCACCTGTCTGATCCCAAACTTCTTGTTGGTTTTTACATATGGCCATTTTAMCCGCAGGCAGAGCAGCATGGAAGCACAGCACTTATTGCATGTATGTAGAAACTTGCTGGAACACAGCAGCTCTCCAAGCTGGGGAACTAAACATCAATTTACCTAGATTTGACATAATTCAGTGGGTCTAAATGTGACATATGTTCTAAAAAACAGAAATAAGTGTTTTTAGAAAAGTACTGTTGATCTGCATGTGATTTTTTCCTAGTTCAAAAGAAACTTTGTAACTGAAGTCCTAAAAAACAAGTTTGGATGACCATCTGTTACAAAATTGTTAGCTCCAGATATTTTTAGTGTATTTTCAGCCTTACTTCCTAAGAACACAAAGCTTATGCCCCCAGGTTGTCTGTGTGTTGTCCTTCTGACAAGCCATACCATGACATTTTCTTCCACCCAGTAGCTCCTGAACATGGAGCTTAATTTCAGCCAGTTATGATAGAAGAAATATGTCAAGATCATAGAATCATAGAATCATGGAGTGGTTTGGGTTGGAAGGCATCTTTATGATCATCAAATTCCAGCTGTCCTGTGATGGGCAGGGACACCTTTCGCTAGAACAGGTCGTTCAGGCTGCATCCAACCTGGCCTTGAACACTTCCAATGATAGGGTATCCATGGTTTTTCTGGGCACCCTGTTCCAGTTCCTCACCACCCTCTGAGTAAAGAATTTCTTCCTAACATCTAATCTAAATCTTTCCTCCTTTAATSTAAAACCTCTTGTCCTATCCTTGTTTGCCCAAGTAAAAATTCACTTTCCCTCTTTTTTATAGACTCCTGTAAGTATTGAAAGGCCACTCTGARTAGTTTCAAGAAGGCCATCAACTTTGAGGTGGCAAGACCTTGTGGACTTCTTGGCTCCCTCCATCCCTGACCCCAGGCAGATGTACAGGAATGAGCTTARCACACCAGTGCTGCAACACTGACACACCTACACAGGGCACAGCCTCCTTACAGCACTATTTTTGAAAAACCAGGACAGGCAGTATACTGGTATTTTGGGAAATTTGGAATGTGGAAGTATTTTTGTGTCATATTAGAAAAGTTAGGTTTTTACTGAGCTATTGTGTTCAATAGGTCAGAGCACCATCACATAGTAAGTAATTGATGCATGCTGTTTCTGGACAAGGAGCAGTATAATCTACTGGTGGCTTMATTTCTATACAGAAGGCATTTGTATTTTACAATTTTCATAATTTTATTTAGCTGTAATTCCTATGTCCATTTTCCTTTGTGACATGCTGTTCTTTCTGAAATACCCCTCCCCCTCACCTCAACTAGAGATTAATCCACTTGTAACAAATGCAGAAACCTTTAATGTCTAAGTAGCAGCTCATACTTATTACTTCAGCACTTGGCTTGCAGGCGTAAAGTCAAGTATTGTTAATATGTCACCAAAGATTGTGAAAGCTTAAATACCTTTGACCAGACTTGCAACCAGCCTGCCAGAAATCCTGTCTAGATGTCAGAACAGTCAGAAATCACTGCTCTGTCGTTTGACTGAATTGTCATGATTTTTTTGCTATGAAAATAAACAAAATTATATCTTACCTCAAAGGGAAGCACTTACTGTCAGATTTGTCAATATTCTCTTCTGCTTTTGCCCTGAACAAATGTCCAATGCCCTTAATGAAAAATTAATCAATTGAAGTTAAAAGGAGATGGGYAACAACACACTGATCTTTTCCATTTTCTTGAAGTAAAGATATACTGCTTAGCACAATTCTCTGGAAAGACCAGGCTGCCTCTGCCTTTATGTCTCTGTGCATGCAAATGTAACTGTACCTCTGCCTCCCCCCAGTATTTTTGAATCTTTGGCCAATCACAGTCAAATTCAACAGAGAAACGCTAAGAAACTTCCTTGAGTTAGTTAACTTTTACAGGAGAATGCCCTGAATTAGTGCCACTGCTATGGGGAAGATTGCTTATCCCTTGGTGCGCAACTGAGAATCCACACAGGAAAAAMGCATTTTGCAAGGACAGGAAAAGCTAAAGTAGAGCTCATATTTTATCARATGTGAGCAAATAGAACTACAAGTTTTAACCTGATAGGGAACCTGGCTTCATTAGTTCAACTGCACTCACCAYCATCTRTTTATTTATTTATTGTGTTGATAGGATCCAGTGCTGCAATTTCACGTAAGTACAAGTGGTCACTGATGTCAAGGCATTTCAAAAAGAAAAAGAAAAAAATATGTACATACTGTTCCTGCTTCTTTGTGTCTCCAGGACTCTGAAGGACATTATCGAAATGTATTTATACAATCTCTGTTAATTATTTTAGGCCAAGGTACATGATTCAGTTTCCTTGTTGTTAAGACATGAGAGTTGGCAGCACAAAAGAGTTTGCGTATGTTGCATTGACAACAATAGGAATAAATAAGCAAGCCTGCCTCTGATATAATTCCACAACTCTGCCTGATTTCTTCACRAAGAGAAATTGTCCTGGGAATGCCTGGGTAAAACCAGGAAAAATATATGAATAGTCATAAAMCCAAAAAGACTCTGTGTGTAATAATGTAATTTTACATACATATGTATATGTTCCTTGAGAGTCAAAACTCAAAAAGTAATTTCATGATTACTTTATAAACTCTTTATAAATATGTGTGTGTATACATACATGTATTGCCCACCACTCATTATATTTTTTTTAATTGAATGAAAAGTGTCTTTTTTTTCATCTTTTCTATAAATATGCTATTTCAGAGCATACCRAAGTATTTTAAAGGGCTTTACTGTTTCCACCAAATACTGCAAATGGCAGCATGCCCCTTCCTGGATTCCAGTAAATAATGCCTAATGGCCCTAGGTTATCTGCAATTTCATATTTTAAAAAAATCATCATCCAGGTGA